GATACAGTGGATTAAATCAACCCTACGTTACTTTGAGAAATTAATTAATAATTTTTATTGTAGCTCATTTAAGTTTGATATCGTTTATATTAATGTAAATTATATACGTGACTCCTCAACTTCCCTCAACCACACACATATTTTCAGCCCCTTGAATTTCCATGCACGTATATAACTTACAATTCCATCACTTCACTATTTCATCTCTATATAAACCACTCCTTCAATCAAATCCTCTTCACCTCTCTCTCTCTCTCTCTATATATATATATATATATTATGGCTTTAGGGTTTAAGCTCATTCTTCTTGCTGTTTTTGTAATATGGAATGTACATTGTGTGACCGTGGCACGATCTATGGGGTCAAACTTGAGCAATATTGCAGAAAGGTTGCAATCGAACGAGTCATCGAATTGCTGGAATTCGATGTTTGAGATTCGTTCGTGCATTGGTGAGGTGGTAATGTTCTTCCTCAATGGTGAGACTTACATTGGCCCTGGTTGCTGCCACGCCATTCGGACCATTTTACACGAATGCAAGCCCACCATGCTTGGTTCACTAGGGTTCACCACCGAAGAGGGCAATATACTCGATGACTATTGCGAAGGCGCAGAGGTTAAGATTCCACCACCACCACCGCCACCGTCTCAACCCACTCTAAATCATGCTTGAATTCTTAGTAGAATTTGGTCATATATGGTGAATAAGATTTCCACTTCTATGCTTAATTAATTGGTTGATGTTTTGCTAGGTCTTGTTTGAATGAATCTCAGCATTGTCAATATATCATTGTTTCTCTCTCTCTTAATTTTGTGAAATTTTTTCGGTTGAAAAGATGTCACATGAACCTCTTATTATTATTATTATTTTGGTCATAACCTCTTAATACTAATTAATTAATATGTAAGGATGAATAATAATATATTTATGCAATAAATTCTATATGCCACAACTCGACACGCGGCCATATATATACCTAATGAGTTGACTCCAAATTTGGCCTCCAAGCTTATGACATCAGTGATTTCATGTGCATTTAATAATTGAGTGGGATATATATATATATATATATATGACGTATAAGACTGGAAATTGATCACACCCACCAATCAAGCAGAAATTAACGTGAGTCTGATACCATTGCACACCTCCGTGAACCGACCGATTCATTCAATTTACACTGATATTTGTCCTAATTCGTCCGCGACCAATACTTACGAACACTGATCGAATTGACCGGCTCATAGAGGTGTGTAACGATATCGAAACCTTAAAAAATAGTTAACCCATACGACGAACCAAGGTCATGACATAATTAACCGGTGAATATACGAATAGTTCTAAAATCACGATTTCTTCTTTACTTCTCAAAGTAATTCAAATTCTGATGGAGCAAATGAATACCTGAGTTTTTTTTTTTCTTTCCAAATCACAGTTATAGACGTTAATATATAATAACCGATCATTTTGTTAATTTTTATGTTTGACCCGTTTCCGATTATTTAAGTTAGCATTATAATATGTAACACATTTCATGAACATGGCTGATGTAGAAGGTAAATAATGAAAATCATACGCGATAACACCTCCAACATTAATATTATTATCATCCACATAACACAGATAATAGCAGAACAAGATAGTGCCCGGCACTTTTTGTCTAGGTCAACATAGTGAACAGCAAGCAAAATACAAGCTCCCTCAATCCCACCGTCCCACACAGTCACACACACACACACAGTCTCACACACACACAGCAATGGGAATTAATTGATTAATTGGGATAGGAAGGAGATAATTAATTAAGAGGACAGTGGGTAAAATTAAAAGAGATGGTGATGCTTTTTTCCATGAGACTCTTCATCCTCTTACTTTGCTTCTTTCTTCTCATGGTGCTCATGGAAAGCAAATCCACCAGCCCCAACTGCAGCTGCAGCTGCTATCTCTTCCTCTATCTTGTGCTTGTGGGCATGCTCTGGATCTTTCTTTGCCTTGTGCTTCTCATGCTGCAGTATATATATATATATGTGTGTGTGTGCATGTATATATAAATATATTATATCTTGGAGAAAATTCAACCAAAAATAAAATAATTAATTGTAATTTATTTTTTTAGATCTTTTCCACCAAATGACAAAATAAATAAATCATATAATCTTATAAACTAAAAAAAAAAAAACAACTTATAATTTTTTCCCCCTCCCAAGGACGGACTTATCAAGGGCTTAGTGGGAGCAGTTGCCCCAACTGAATTTTTTATTTATTTACAAAATGACTAACAAATTTTATGAAAATCTTATAAATATTACTACTTTTTTTGAGAAAATCTTAAAAATGCCACACTCAATTTTAATGATACCCCATTATATATTATTGCTGTTCAAAATTGTCCCCTCTCATACAATTATCGACCATGGTTGATTGATGTTCTACATCATCAGGTTAAGCAAATACGTAACTCGATTTCAGGATATAATATATATATATATTTATATATATATATATTTTCTTTGCCAAGAAATTCACACACTCATTTGTTCTGATGGGAACTTGAATCTTCACCTTCCACTGCAGGAGGTCGAGGACTAGGAGATAACATTAGAATACTGCAGCTTACAGAATTGGAGTGTGCCTATGTTCGAGTCCCCACTACCCTAATTTGCCAGGAGATTTAAAAAAAAAAAAAATAAATTACAACTTTATAGTTTACCAATATAACTCTATGATACTAATCTCTTTAATTAATTCTAGTTTGTTTGAAAGGTAAAAATGCGATTTTATTTCAAATCCTTTGATTTTCTTTTTTTATTTTGAAATATGATTCCTCCACTTTTTGGCTCCAAAGACTGTGTTTGGCATAGCAGTTAAAAGTTAATCTTAAACGTAAGAAATGAAGATAATGTGATTTTTATAATGATCTCTATTATCTCTCCCTAAACACACACATCTAAAGGAGTGGTAGAACATTTACCAATGCATAAGCTCCGGCAGCAACAGCACCGAGCTCGCCGATTTGCTCGAGGTGCTTGTGGTGCTTCTCCTCTTTCCTGTAATCATGGGTGCCAGGTTCCTCTTCCTCCTTGTGGTGGTGGAAGAGGTGGTGCTTCTCCTCAGCCATGGTGGTGATTGCAGAATACAAACTATATAAAGTGAGTTGGATGTGTTGTGCAGTAATTGTGTTGGTTGTGCAAATACAAGGCTTTGGTAGTTCTATTTATAACCAACCGATGGTGTGCCATGGAGTTGGGAGTCACGTCAAATGGTGAGATGGACGGTCCCGATTTTTTAATCTTTATCTACTTCCAATAAATTAGATTTAATTTTAATATTTTTCAAAAAAATAATAATATTGTACGTTGAAATTTTTTATTATTTTATTAAGATAGCAACTGAGGATGGGACCGTCCCCTGTTCAACCCCATTCTAGAAAACTGCCCTCAATAACACACACACACACACGCTCTGTTGTTTAACAACACACGCACACACACACTTTCCATGCACGTAACTTACAATTCCATCACTTCACTATTTCATCTCTATATAAACCACTCCATCAACCAAATCCTCTACACCTCTCTCTCTATCCCTATATATATATATTATGGCTTTAGGGTTTAAGCTCATTCTTCTTGCTGTTTTTAAATGTTTTGCTAAGCCTTGTTTGAATGATGAATGAATCTCAACATTGTTGTTATCTTGAAAAAAATGGTTATTACATTTTCTTATAAGGTTGTTTCTTGGCTAAATATTTTTTGGGAAATACTTTATTCTTTTTCTATTTATCAATTTTTTTTTTAATAAAAAAGTTAATCAAATATTGAGTTCCTCTCAAATAGTAGAAAACAAAAAAATTGATCAAATTAATGCAAGAAAAGAAGTTGCATGGTTTTGTTTAATTTAATTCAACATATATCCCAATTCATCCTCTAATACAAGAAAAATGTTATATACTTCGAATTCGGAGAAAATTACATCACTCTCATTATACAATATCAAATCCGAAGAATATATCATTGTTCCTATCTCTCCATCAGTTAGTAAGAAAAGAGGACCTAAATTCTATGATCCAAGGCTGTAATGTTGTGAAAGGGATTTATTATATGTGGCTTATGCTTCACAAATTTTGGGTTGAAAAGATGTCACATAAACCTCTTATTACTCTTTTTTTTTTTTTTTTTTTAAGGTCATAACCTCTGTTACTATTTAATTAATATTTAAGGATGAATAATAATATATTTATGCAATAAATTCTATATGCCACGACTCGACACGCGGCCATATACATACCTAATGAGTTGACTCCAAATTTAGTTTTCAAGCTTATGTCATCAGTGATTTCATGTGCATTTAATAATTAAGTGGGATATATATATATATATATATATATATATATATATATATATATATGAAGTATAAGACTGGAAATTGATCACACCCACCAATCAAGCAGAAATTAACGAGACATTAATTTAGAGTTCTAAACTTTGGGATTAAGTCGTGATCATGATTTGTAATGGCGGTGTTGGTTGCGAATGGATTCAGATGAATATCAATGTAAATTGATCGAATCGGGTGATTTATGGCTGTGTGCAACGGTATCGGATCCTTAAAAAATGGTTACAAACATTGATCGAACCGAACAGTTTATATAAGTATGTAACGATATTGGACCATTGAAAAATGGTTAACTGACACGGCAAACTATGCTCATGACATAGTTAATCGGTGAATATACATACCGTTATAAAATTACGATTTCTTTTTTACTTTTCAAAGTAGACAGTGAGAATCTAAATTCCGATAAGATAAATGAGTGCGTGAATTTTTTGCTGACTGAACTTTGGTTGGAGAGACTAAAACCATAGTTATAGACGATTTTGTTAATTTTTATTTTTGACCCGTTTCCTATGTTTTAAGTTAGCATTATAATATGTAACAAGTTAGCATTATAATATGTAACCCATTTCATGAACATGGCTGAGGTAGAAGAAGGTAAATAATGAAAATCATACATGATAACACGTCCAACATTAATATTATTATCCACATAACACAGATAATAGCAGAACCAGATAGTGCCAGGCACTTTATCTAGGTCAACATAGTGACCAGCAAGCAAAAAAAAGCTCAGTCAATCCCACTGTCCCACACAGTCCCACAAATACACACACTGTCACACACATACAGATAGGAAGGAGATAATTAAGAGAGGAGAATGGGTGGTTAAATTAAAAGAGATGGTGATGCTTTTTTCCACGAGACTCTTCATCCTCTTCCTTTGCTTCTTTCTTCTCATGGTGCTCATGGAAAACAAATCCACCAGCGCCAACTGCAGCTGCAGCTGCTACCTCTTCCTCTATCTTGTGCGTGTGGGCATGCTCTGGATCTTTCTTTTCCTTGTGCTTCTCATGCTGCAGTGTGTATATATATATATGCATGTATATATTAATATATTATATCTTGGAGAAAATTCAACGAAAAATAAAATAATTAATTGTAATTTTTTTTTTTTAGATCTTTTCCACCCAATGACAAGATAAATAAATTGTATAATCTAATAAAAAAAAAAAAAAAAAAACTAATCATTTTTCCCCCTCCTGACAGAAGGACGTCAAATCTTCACAATCACACCCTCAAACCGCATGCAAGGACGGACTTATCAAGGGCTTAGTTGGGGTGGTTACCCCCACTGTATTTTTTTTATTTATTTACAAAATTACTTGTAAACTCTATGAAAATCTTATAAATATTACTACTTTTTTTGAGAAAATCTATATATTATTGTTGTTCAAAATTGCCCCCTCTCATACAATTATTGACCATAGTTGATTGATGTTCTACAAGACTACAACATCAGGTTAAGCAAATACGTAACTCGATTTCAAGATATAATATATATTTTCTTTGCCAAGAAATTCATACACTCATTTGTTTTGATGGGAACTTGAACCCTCATTCTCTACTTTAGAAGGTCGAGGACTGCTTACAAAATTGAGAGTGTGCCCGTGTTCGAGTCCCCACTCCCCTAATTTGCTAGGAGATTTTTTTTTAATAAATTACAACTTTATAGTTTACCAATATAAACTCCATGACACTAGTTTCTTTAATTAATTCTAGTTTGTTTGAAAGGTAAAAATGCGATTTTATTTCAAATCCTTGGATTTATTTATTTGAAATATGATTCCTCCACTATTTGGCTCGAAAGACTGTGTTTGGCATAGCAGTTAAAAGTGAATCCCCCCCCCCCCCCCAAACACACACATCTAAAGGAGTGGTAGAACATTACCAAAGCATAAGCTCCGGCAGCAGCAAAACCAAGCTCGCCGATGTGCTCGTGGTGCTCGTGGTGCTTCTCCTCTTTCTTGTCATCATGGATGCCAGGTTCCTCTTCCTCCTTGTGGTGGTGGAAGAGGTGGTGCTTCTCCTCAGCCATGGTGGTGGTTGCAGAATACAACTATATAAAGTGAGTTCGATGTGTTGTGTAGTAATTGTGTTGGTTGTGCAAATGCAAGGCTTTGGTAGTTCTATTTATAACCAACCGATTGTATGCCATGGAGTTGGGAGTCACATCAAATGGTGAGATGGACGGTCGTGATTTTTTAATCTTCATCTACTTCCAATAAATCAGATTTATTTTTAATATTTTTCAAAAAAATAAAAAAAAATATTAACTGAGTGAGGATGGGACCGTCCCCTGTACAAAACCCATTCAAGAAAATGAAATATTGGAAATTATTAGTACCGTGAAATAAATATGTAGAATTTACGGTGGATGACAAGTTCAAAGTTTCATATCATTAAGTTCAAATTGCTGCTAATTGAGTGCATTTGATCATCACTCAATGGAAAGTTAATTCCTCTTGAAATTAGAAATGGAGAAAAAATTAGTTGGACACCAATTATACTCTACTCAAGATAAAAGAAGGTTAAATTAAATGCTATTGAAGGGTACTACAGTCATTTCACTTGTCAGATAATAGGTTACAATTCCCACTAATCACCAATAACAAATTAAGGCAATATTGTAACCAATAAAGTCAATGTTGGTGTCAATTCAAAAACAACTAGCAGTCTAAAAGAAATTCCAACAGATTTTACTAGAAAAAAATAAGCCAAGAAATTAATTAATGGCCGGGGTTGGAGCCCTTTGAATGGCAGTTGGAGCTTACTCACGTCGGCAAGCGAATATTATCCACAAAAGCCCAGATATTCTGTGTTGAGCCAGGGCCCTCGTACCTTTTATGCGTGTGTGTTTTTCGCGTGTGATATTATCCCACCTCTAAAAGCCTCCCATAGCCTTTTATGGGTGTGTTTTGTGCGTGTGAATGTCGATATTATCGCAGTTCTTAAAGCCTCCCATAGTCTAATTCCATGGTCACATGCAACAGACAATTACGAAAATTTTCTATGAAAGCCATTTAAAGACATTCGAACTTCTTAATAGTCAGCGACTTAACGATATCAGTTTCTTACTCCTTAAAGAAAGGTTAGAGATTTAAGTCTCAATGGAGATTCGGTATGTAAATACCAATTAAAAAAAAAAAAAAGACATTTGCAGGGGCGGAGCTAGGATCTTGAGGTTGAGGGGGCCAAAATTATAAGCAATATTTGAATTTTTGGGGAGAAAAAAAAATATTACGTAGGCAAAAATATTTTACTATTTATTATATTCATACAAAAATATATCTATCTAAACTTTTGCCAATTTTTTTAAATAAAAAAAACTAGTTATTTAAACTAAGCTTATGCCAAAATTATAAATAATTTTTTTTTAATTAAACAATTAGATTTTAATTTAAAAAAAAGAAAAAGAAATTCATGTAATACTTGCACAAATTAATAATCATTACACAATATACCAATAAAAATTATAACTATGATAAAAAAAAAACACAAGCAAATTAATAAAATAAGAATTTAGATTTTTCAATTATCGATTTTTGTTGATATTCAAAACTTCAAATGAAATTTTTGTTCTAGATTTTGTAAAAATTAATTTCTTATTATCTTATAAAATTCTTATAAAAGTATTCCAATAAAAATAAATAAAAAGAAAAAAAAAAGTAATCGTAAAGAATCACGTATGAGATGGAATTTTAGGATAATAAGGTTATGGAAAAAATCATAATTGAGTTGGAAGGATTTTAAGATAGTCACATTATGGAAAGAACTATGTTTGAGTTGAAATTTTAAGATAGTCACATTAAATTTTTATATGAATCAATTTTTATCGGGATTCTATAGTCGTCAATTAAATCACTTTCTTTTAGATTATATATAAATTATTTTTTGTTAAATGATAATTAAAGAAATTTTTTTTTTTTCTTAAGAGGGGGGCCAAGTACAGATTTTATACCATACATACCATATTATTTTTATTTTTATCTCTACTAAAAAAAAATTCCAAAAAATTAGGGGGGGCCATGGCCACCCCCAACCCCCCCTTGGCTCCGCCCCTGGACATTCGAACTTTCAACATTCAAAATGCGATGCAAGAGCTTTATGGTTAAGTGTCATTACGCGTGTGTGTATATAGCCTTTCTATTTGAGGCATTATATTTTATCACAAACAATACAAACATATAATAAAGGTATGTAGACTAACCTAAATTGATCCACCATACATCAAATACTATATTTAAGTTGTTTACCATGGTTTAATGATTGAATTGCTAGAGTTGAACTAGATTGGTAATAAGTAATCAAGTTTTACAATAATCATTCTATAATTTTTGTCTAAATGTGATTAGTCTACTTCATACTTAGCCTACTAGACTTTAGTTTTGGTATGATTAGATAATACTACAAAATTAAGGGACAATAAGTTAAAGTGTTAATAAGAAGTTTTGTTCCAAATTGGATCTAGAAGGGAAAGTAAAGGAGTATATGTGACTCGTTACAGTTGGTACTAAAGTCAGACCTAATTCTTAATCCGGTGCTATGCCAAACGTCACTCCAGAAGGTGTCTGGGTCTGCTACTCGAATATACAGGGTGACCCGACCGCAACGAGGGCGTTGCGAATTTAGGAAGAAAAAAAGTATTACAAGGAAAGTCTTGTCCTATATCGGTTCAGATGGAAAAGTAAATGAATATATATGGGCCAAGGTGGGTGCCACTGGCGGATCTAAGGGTGGGCTCAAGCCCACCCAAATTTATTATTATTTTTTTACTATTCCCAATTTCATCCAAAAAAAAAAAAAAAAATTTATTACTAGTATTAGCCCACCTAAAAAAATATTAGTTTACCCTATTAATAATTTCTGAATTTACCTTTGAGTAAGTGTTAGTCCTACTTAAGGGATTAAACTTTGGATCAGATTGAGAAATACCTACACGTGACACTACTGATGGTAAATTAGTCAAGTAAAGATAAAAAAAATTAATGCAAAATTACTAAATTAGATATTCAGAAAGTGAATGATGATGATTGAGTATCCTTGCAGTGATGTACACGTGTCAAGCATCAAATGGGTTGGTACTGTCTCATGATCAAAGTCGGTCATGCATCAAATGGTTCGGTACGGTCTCGTGAGCAAAGTAGTGGTTCTCGAGGCTGTCAAACTCATCCTCATTGTTATATTTGGCAAACGAAGACTTGTCACCTCTAATTCCTATTCTACTTTGGCCAAAAAGAATACGGGAAAAAATTATTTGCCAAGATAGGTAATTTTTTTGGCAAATAGTTTCAATTTTTTTTTTCTTCAGATAGTTGAATTTTCTATTTCTGTATTAAAAAGTGAGAAAATACCATAAAGTAAATATCTTTGTAATCCTAAATATGTGATATAAATCATATAAATTTGATCACTTTGGCATCACTACCATCAAAGCTTTGTCTTAGATGTTACAAAGAAACCGTGTGAGATTGTTTTACTTGATAGGAAGTGCTGAGGAGAATTTATGTATTTATTAACAAGATCATTTATGAAATAAAATGTGTTTTAGTGGGTTTTAATTTTCTCAATTTTTGATTCGGTGTTATGTCAAATGCTCATTAAAAATCCAAATAAGGGTCGTTACTTGGTTCTCCCGTTGTTAGAAGGAACCGGTAAGTAGGGTAGTCCGACATCAATAAGGAATCGAGGGAGTTCAGAATTTAAGTGAGAGAACTTAGAACTTGCTTGATTTGTAATTCTGAAAACAGTTCTAAAAAATTCAAAAAATAGAAAATTATTTTCAGAGAATAATCTTTTATAGTTCTACGAAAATAAGTATTTTTATAACTGAGTTTTTAGAAAATTGAATCAAGTAAAATTTTTTATACAATTTTTTATTCTTAGTTTTTTGACAATAAAAAACTATTTCTATAATTACAAACCAAGCAGATTGAACTTCTAAATTGCATAAAACTAAGACGGATTGAACTCAAATAATTCCAAACCAAGCTACACTATGATACCTTTATCCCCGTGAAATGGACACATGGGACATATCCCAGTCATGGGCTATTTTTGGGCTTTATAGCTTTTGTAAAATCGGTCCATGCCTCGATTGTCTCAAATCCTTTTTAAGAAACACCACATGTAACTAATATTCCTCTTATATACCATTGTTTTAATTTCTGAAAAAAAATAATAATAAAAATTTGAAAAAAAAAAAAAATTTTTGATCCTTTTGATATAGACATACACGCGGACCAATGAAACTTCTACTTTTTTTGTGATGGCAAGTTAACACCATATGGTGGGCGCTGGGCAGGTTGTAATGAATGAAATGGCGGAAAAAAAATAGCGGGCAATAAAAATTGGTGATGGTTTGGAGGGAATGAAAACATATGTTTGTTCAGTAATCTTGCACGCAAAATTAAAAGCGCATACCAACACACATATGCCAGTGTTGAGTGTCCTCTACTTCTCTCTCCACATGCACCATACTTTAGAAACGATACATGACAAAACCCAAGAATAAATAGGTCTTTGTGCTCACCCGTAAATACACCCCGTTGTATCGAGCATCGACCACATCGTAGTCGTTTATGTTCGCGTGTGCATATCACGCACCGCACATGTTGTGTATAGACGACTGTGATATTCCCGGTGCAGGGTGTACCGGGCACACCAAATACCTGCTTCAATACACTCCTCTTTTGTTTTAATTTCCAACCAAGAATCTTTCCCTCTAATGTATTGTTCCTTCTGTCCCATATTAGTAGTCCATTTTCCCTTTTAGAGTGTCCAAAATTAAATGTCCATTTTGAAAAGTCAAATAAAATAAATGCCATTTTTTCATAATTACTCTTCTTACTTTTCAAAAATCTTACAACTTGGTGTTTTGAAGGATAATTTAGTAATTTGAAAAGGGGACAATGCATTAATTGCATGTTCCCTTAAAAAGTTATAAAATCAAAGATGGACAACTAATAAGGGACGGCGGGAGTAGTTAGTAGTAGTAGTAGTAGTAGTAGTAGTTTTTTTTTGGTCTCCCTAGCAAATAACTCCACAATATTAAGCTTTTTAAAGAGATTTGAACCCTCTAATTTGCACTTCGAAATACCACAAACTTTGATAGTC